AAAAAACATATTACAGCTGACTGACATTTGAAAAGCTGTGGCAGGTCACAGCCAGGAGCTATCCTGTGGCACACCCTTCCCTCAGCCTCACACCCACAGTGAAGTCAGCACAGGGTCTTGTGTCGGGGAACGGGGAAGCAAAGGCTGACTGGAAGTGGAAGTTCTTCTTGAAGTGCTTCATATGATAGAGATCATCCAAAATTGCTAATGATAATTTTAATATGAAGCATTATGTAAGTGTAGATGACTTTAGCATATTTCAAATATCATTTGAATCAATCTGTGTAGGTACACTTATAAAACAAGAACACAGTGAGCAAATAGTTGGGAAATATTTTGCTATCCTATATTTGGGTTAAATTCTGTTTTACACTGCATCTAAACCCCACATTTTTATAACTGATCTTAAAGGTTTCAAAACTAAAGTTATGACTTAATAGTTTAAATCAACATTTTCCCTAGCAAAGCTTCAGTTTTGACTATTTACTATTTCCCAGTGAAAAAGCACTTTAACCGAAGCACTTCCTCTACTCAGAAGCAAATGTATTTTGTTGTAGAAAATAGCAGCCTTGACATAATGAGCTGTTGGCCCACCATATACAGCCTTAGCTTGTGCCCTGGATTCTAAAATAAATGCAGGGCCTGAATAAGCTTACATAGAGAGACCAGCAAGCCAACCTCTGACCCCAGCAGCAGCTGGGGCTTAGGCAGCAAGTCACAAGCAGGCTACATCCTGCTTAAATGACAAGGCAAAAGAAGCAGCCCATACATATGTGACTTGCAAAACACTTTGCAGATTTCATTTTTTTAGTAGAATAAACTTTTAAGTTTATGAATAAAACTATTCTCGAGCTTTCTCTGTGAAGTTAATGGCTTTGATAAGCCTATGGAACTTCTTCACTAAAAACAATCTTCTCAACACCACATAGATACAGGTTAAGTGTGGCCAGGATGCATTCTTGCCTGAGAGTGTAAATGAGAAGGTATCCTGGTCATAGTTTTAAATCACAGCAGGCTGTAAAGCAAATGTAAAACAGGGAATAAGAGGAAGCAAAGTCCAGAGAAGTGCAGGGTAGTACTGTAAGCCAGGCCCTCTTCAGCTCCCATTATTCTTACTTTACTAGAGCAACAAGGGAAGGAAAAAAAGAAAAGCACTTGCTGTACTTTTTTTTACAAATTCTGAGGTTTGAACAACTTAATTTCTGTGGTTTGGCTTCTTCGCTTCAAGTGCTGTTGTGTGACTGCAGGATCCAGCTGTTCTTTTTTCCTTTGTCTAAAATACCTACACAAAGTAGCTCCCGTGTAATATTTGTTCATCTCTGTAGTTCTTTGTTATGGAAGCCAAAGAGTAAAGAACACAAAAATTTTAATTAGGAAACAACTCTCCACACAGACTTCATTGGTACAACATAGTTATAAGTACATCTACAAACACATACAGGTTCTTTGGACTATGATTTTTTTAAAATATATTTTATATGACAACGCAAACAAATCTGGAAAAAACAAATTACTTCAACCTTATGTAGAGGTAGCTGAACAGTACTCTGTCCAGTGATATGAGAGTATAACTTAAGTTACATTTCAAGTTCATTACAGTGCACAAAAGGATGTTTTACAAACAAATGGATTATACAAGTCCACAAAACTTTTTATTTAAAATGGCTTGATAGATATATTTCTGGCACTCTTGTAACCACATAGCTTGATGGAATTAAATTGGACAAGTATATGGTTCCAAATTAAGACATCTTACACAGATAGTCTTTTGCTCCACATTTTTGTACTTCTCCCGTTCCTCATCAGGGAATTATAGAAGCTATTACATTGTTTTTGCTACACTTCTGCTCTGTAAACCTTTGTTCTGCAAATTGAATGTAAAGATTAAAAGGTGCATATGTTTTATATTTATAAAATATATGGCTATGACTATTAAAAAGCTCAAGAATGGCAATAACAGAATACAGGCACTTCTATGTGAGGGTTACTTTAGACCTTATGAAACTCCAACATTAGTAAGCACTTCACATGATACCTGGATGAGTAAGTCAATGTAATAGTTCAGGTTTTTATTATCCACCATTTTAATCCTGTCTAAGCAGATTAGTTTCTTTCTTCTTTCAGACAATATTTATTTAGCAAAGTGTTTCAAGAGAGTGACTTTGCTCAAACTACCATTTTTCTGTAGCTGTAAGACTTTCAGTGATTTACTGAGCTTTGGAATAAACCCCAGATCCTAAACTATGTGCTGCACTAGTTACAATTTCTGTTGTGAAGCCAACAAATTAAATGAGAACTAAGCAGGGGTTGAAAAGAGAGATTGAGTTCATCTGATGTAGGACTTGGAGGAAATGGGAAGCACTACTCTAAGTGCATATAGGTCCATGGGTTTTTTATGCACAAAACCCCTGTAGTTAATTTACACTTTGTTTTTTAAATAAGAGTTTGTGAACATGTTCTCCATTCCTAAGCATTGCATTTAAATACAACTCCTGCCTGTCATTGATTTAAACATCAGTAGAAGTTCAGCACCAAGTAGAAATCATTAAAAGGAAAATTTTTTCACAATGAGAACAATCAGTCATTGGAATAATCTCCCCAGGGAAGTGTTGGAATTCCCCAACACTGGACACTTGTAAGATTTGGCTGGACAGGGTGCTGGGCCATCTTGTCTAGACTATGCTTTTGCCAAGAAAATTTGGATCAGCTGATCCTTGAGGTCCCTTCCAACCTGGGATTCTACAATTCTGTGAAAAGACCATCTAAAACAGAACTCAATTCTATGAAGCTCTTTCTCTACAGCACAGATTAAGACAGACCAAATCCACATTTTTTTTTTTAGACTAAAACAATCTTTGGATTAAGAAATCCATGGTTGAGGTGTTCTGTCAGTAAGCAGTCATACAGGACAGAAGGACAGGCCGAGCAATAGACCAGCCATTCAGTATCTCTTATTGCTATAAGGTAATGGAAGATATCAGCACTTAAAGAAAAAAAAATAAGAGAAACTTTTACATCTAACACCAGAACATCACTTAAGACTTAGCATAATGGCCTATCACACCATTTTATCATTTCATTATTAAAACTACTGAACTACTTCCTAAGCAGCCTATGCATTACTTATGCCCCCACAAGAACAATTAATCAATACTTCTGATCACACAGGAAATACAAGTTTGAGTCATGATTTTTTTTTTGTTTTTAACAGATGAGCAAGACTGGTTATGGAACTGGGTTTGGTGTCTAGAAAAAAATGCAAAGAGCTTAAATAAAATACTCCCCCAATTAATATTTTATCTGATCAATGCTGTTTCTATAATTAAAGCGAAGGTATTTTTAGATCTGCTCAGCTGTTTATTCATGCCTGTGATAAATGTTGCATTTACATCCTTGTACTCATTAACACAACTGAAAAATAGTCAGCGATGATGTGGCATAACTAGAAGATTTTTTGGTTTTTAAATGTCATTACTGAAACTTTACCATCTCAATTTATTGCAGGCTAGGGCCATCCCTTGTCCAGCTTTTTCTGGACAGGTTTGTGTTCTCTAACAAATTTCTTTCTCAATATTGTTTTTTTCTTCTGATGGAATTTGTAGACTGCAGCCATTAATCTAGGATGTGTGGCCATGGAGCAGCCCCAGAATGCTACTGTATGTGTACAGATGAACTTTTTGGTGTGTTTGATTTGTTGTGCACGTGCAGATCACCTGTTTGCATTACATGCAGTAGGTCCAGTGTTTCCAGGTGGCAGCAAATGCACTGGGTGTTCATGATGCAGGGCATGTACGAGAGTCTCTGCTTAGGAAATTCTGGCAGCTTCAGTCAAGGCTAACAGAAAAGATAATATTCACTTTTAAAACCAAGGATTCTTTTCCATGACAGTTTCTAAAACAACAAAATTGGCAGAATGAGTATGTAGAATACATAGCATGCAGGGAAAAAGAATAATGACATCAGTGAGAAAACAGTTTAAATTAAATACTTAAGGTCCTTTTCTCACAGATAAGAGTAACAAAGTGACAGCTTTTTTTCCTATGGGAGCACTATGAGGCCCTTACGTTATGCAATAATACATAATGGTTTGTGGAAGAATTGCATTGAATGCAGCTTCACTTCCAAACAAGTGGAAATCACTTCATTATTGATTTATGAAGACAAATGTCATAGCAGGTGTCAGCCACTGTATACTTGATACTGTTCAGAACATGAAGGTATTTTTATACATTGTTTACAGCATGTCAAGTACCCTTATGGAAGAAATGCAGGAATCTAGCAGTGAGGAAGGAAGCTGTAGTATTTCTAGAGTAGCTCAATGCAAACAGGATACACATTCCATGTTTATCACAAAGGTGAAACATGTTTGTCTTCCATTTGTTGCTTTGGTACCCTTATGGAAGTGTTCTATGGAATTTAACAAAAAGGGGAACAAAGGTAGTTTTATAAAAACGTAACAGTATGGAAACTACTTTTAACTAATAAATATTTCTGATGAGATGGAAAAACACCCAGAAAAATGACATTAAATTCTACTGCATTTTTTCATAAAGGAGGCATGAAATGGCAGAGTACTGTCCTGGGTAAAAAAAAAAATCAAAGAAATGTGTAGCATTCCATAACATTCTCACTTCATTCTAGCTTTTGCCACTGAAAAGGAAAACAGTAGCTTAGAATAAAAGGCCCAGTTTTGCTCGCATTGAAATCAGTGAAAGCCCAAGTCAGATGGAGGTACAAGCAGTCCCAGAAAGTGGTACACTGTGAGCAATAAAAGCAGAAAAACAAGTATAGGAATCGTTGATTTAAAAAAAAAAAAATCAAAACCAAGATACTTCCTGTTCTCATTTCTGCCCTATTTTTACCTGCTTTATAGCTAGCAGTAATCATGCTAAAATTCACTTGTTTTCCTTGGCAGTTAACTATTATTAGCAACACTACCCAGTCTCTTAAGAGAAATGCAATGGCTGGGTAGAGATTTGAAGCTAACAGAAACCTGAAGATTGGGGTGAAATAAATAGCATTTATTACAACATATTCCTTCTTATGTGACACAAACTGCCCTCTGAGTCCTACAGGTCAAAATAACTCCCCCCTCCCCGTCCCATACACACACTCCAAAGCCAAATCCCACCAAACAATTAAAAGAAATAAAACTCATCTTAACAGCAACAAGAGTTGATTAAAAAAAAAAAAAAGTCTGTGTATTAACCTACAATGAAATGACACCAGTACTTCCAGTTTTCTCTAGGATGAGCCACTTTTCATATATTGTGGCTCTTTCTTCGCACTTTGTAGCCATTGTCCATTTTTGCAAGAAAGAGTTCAGATACAAATTCAACTTCAAGTTATCCTCCGTTCTGTGAAAAATTAGGGAATAGATCCTTCTGTCACCACTATGGTCAATTCCCACTGACATCACCTGATCAACACAAACTTATCCAAGCATTTAAACATTCATGCTCAAGGTTAAGCACGTGCTTGACTGTTTGGTTGCATCACAAACCTAGTCACAAGCATAGGATCAACCTCCAACAACTGTGCTTGAATTATCTCAAACATAATCTGTGTATTCAAAGACTTCAAGGCAGGATGTTTCGGGGGAAAAAATCCTTCTTAAGCTACAGTAGAACTGGGGATGAGTAGAAAAACATTCAAAGTATTTGAACAGAAATAACTGAAAAATTATCAAAGCAGTTGCTTGTGCACTGCAAGAATCATCATTTTTGCCCCCAGTCATAAATACAGGGTAAAAACACTATAAATAAATAGAGCAGCTCACTTTCCTTTAGCGAATGAACACATAAATAATATACATTTTGAAACAAAAAATCATAGTGCAAAAATAAATTATCAAACAGAAGTTGTGAACATTATTTTACACAATGCTATATAAAACCTGAACCATTTGAATAAAAGACTTTGCAGTTCACTGAAATAATGCATTAACATTATTATTTCTGCTTCACATTAAACTGCACAGTTCATCCTTTATCCACTAAAAAATAAAAATAAAATAAATTAAAAAAAATCCTTAAGATTTTTAAAAGGTTTATGGCAAACAAGATCACTTTTTGTTCTATCACATTTGTTATTAGTTTAGCAGTGCAGTGATTGAATAATTGTCTCAGACTTCCAAATGGAAACTACTGAAGTATCCATAAACATCCCCTGCTCTTTATAACCCATTCTCTTTGAAATTCAGGCTTGAAACATCCTGACACTCAAATCTGTAAGACATTATTGCAGTTATATGAAGTTACAAGAGACAGTCTACAGTCAAGGACTGTGGGAGACTTCACAGCTCTCCTCCTCACCATCACCGTGATCTCGTACGAGACATGAACGTAAGGACACGTCTGATGCCATTCAAGCGGTCTTTGAGGGATTTCATGGCAAGGAACGGGAGCTGAGCTCTGTTCTCAAGTGGAAGGACAGCCAGGACCCACCAGCACCAGGCTGGCCCATTAGGGTTAGCCTACAGCCAGGGGAAAAAGAAAAATAGAAGTCAGGATTCATACAGATGGCAAGGTCCTGGTTTTGAAGATCTAACTTCGAAAACACAGTTTTTGACAGCAATCTAGCAACTAGGTCATTTCATCACCAACCTAATGGCTGTGCTTACAGGTTCCCCTGAAACAGATTACAAACAAATTTCACCTTTCCTAAAAATAGAATGTTGAAGGCATTTCTACTTCTAGCAACGATTTATAGGCTGGACTTTCTAGATTTTTTAAATGTATTTTTTTTCCCATGTTATCATTGACCCAGCTCTTTGGGATTCCTGCCTCCCTTCTCCATACTTCATAACAGTTCTTCATATTTAGCTTTTGTTGTTCCATTCTGTTATTTTAAGACCCCACCATTTGCAGACCTTTAAGAAGAGAACCAGGTTTTCTCTTGCCTATTTACACTTCATCCTTCAATTGAGGAGGTAGAATAGGCATTTCCATTTCCTGGGATTAATATAGTCAGATAAGTAGCCTTAGAAAGTTATCAACATTAAATATGAGCTTTTGTTCACAACTGTGCTACTGCTGGTGTATGGCAATAGAACTCAGGCTCAGCTTATGTGGGGTAAATGCAGAGTATTCATATTTTCATCTTAAAAGGCAATGCCTGCCAGCTTATCGGATATCCCTGCTATTTCTGTCTCCAAAAGTTACATAAGCCACTGATTCTGGATACCTGTGGGTCAGGATCCTTAGCTGGCATTGGACCAAAATGACTGAGAATTCGACTTTTGAGTGCTTGCTTGAGGGAGTTAAACCACATATATGCCTGATCATAGACAGAATCATGGAGAACAAGTAATGCAGCATATTCTTGTCCTTGCACCTGAAACGAGTAAAAAAAGGGGGAAGGTTACTGTTTGTTCAGTCTCTATGTTGGGGAAGGCACAGCATTTTTAGGATTTTCTGAGGTGGGTGAGGGAAAGAAAAAGGAAAAAAAAACCACACCAATAGAGTTCTGGGATAAACGCTGAAAGCTCATTTGGTGTTCCCCCTTCTGCTCTCCCTCCCCAGTCCAAATTCTTCACTTTCTTTCCCTGTATTCTATACCAAAGATATCTATTTGCAGAACATGCACTTTCTGGATTGCTATATAAAAAGGCCTTTACACAAACATCATATACAACAACAGAAGAAAAGACCATGCAAAGCTTTTTTAAAAAAAAAATTAGTAGAGCCTCAGAGTAGACATTTTATCTTCCCATACGAAAGCTCTTAAGAACTAATGTAATTTTGAAGATTATTGTGGGCTCAAACTTGCTCCTTCTTACCTGAATGGGAGTTTTCTAACTGGATTCCATGCAAATGGAGGCAGGTTCCCTCTCTACCCTCTTATATATAGCAGTTACTCTGTCTAGAAGAGCAGTAAGATTTCATTCCTGAATTCACTTAGTTTTGTCCTCTGCTAAATGCCTCTAGGAAACACAGCCTTCAGTACATGGGCAGTATGTGTGCATGCTTGTGGTAACTATTATGTTTCCCACCTTAACCATGAGCACTTAATAAATACCACAAATTTGTTTTACTATAAACTTCTACAAAGAAGAACTCACTGAAAACAAGCACTTAGAATTTCACAAGTAATACAGTTTAAATGAAATATTTCTAAATTTACCTTTTGATCCTCAATGTACTCAATATCTGCTGTGTTATATCCATCACGCTGGCTGTGCTGGATCACCTTAAATCTCCTCTTGCCAATGCTGTCTACAACAGAGCGACCATCAGCAAAGAATTCAACATTTCTTATCTCCAGAATGCAGCCATAATCTGCAAACCTATTGAAATCAGAACAAAAGCAAGTAAACAAGTCTTATTCTCTCCACCCTTAGTTCCACAGAGCTGCCATACAGCCAGTCCCTACCACAAAGGTATTTACCAATGTCAGCTCATTTCTATTGTTCATAATACTGACCTGCTGTAGTTCAAATTATTCCACAATTGTTTGCAAAACTATCAGGAAGATTCAGGCTGTCTAATCTGATTAATGCTAACTGGATGTTTTGGAATACAGGGAACATCTTATGAAATTGAAAATTATATAGGTCAGAGGAGCACTTTCTCCATAACCCTAATATGTTCAGTCAATTTGTACAGAAGGGCAAGTGCAATTCAGAATATTAGAATTATGGAAGGACTGTGAAATCTATAAAGAAAAAAGTGTTTCCACAGTTTCAGCAGATTTAACTCTGTAGGTGGGTACTTTGTATATGTTATGCTTCTTACAGTGTATACATACCCAGTAGGTAGATACCATAAAAAGAAGGGAGAAAATCTAAATACAGAGAGACACTGAGGTCAAATTACCCAAGACTGACTGTAAATTCTCAATGTAAATGGTCAGTCAGTCTTTATGATGGTTCTGTTATGCCTCTGCAGCCTCCACTATATTCAGAACACTGAAGATATAAACATATCCCATAATATAAAAAAGCAAACCCCCCAACGCGCTGTACTGCCATTTCAACTTGATTTCTTGTGCCAAAGCATTCAACAGATTTGAAAATAGTAGAAAATACACTTCCTTTTCGTGTATTACAAGAGGTCTGCAGCTCAATTTCATATGCTACACACCAGTCATGTGTGTTTTGAGAGAACAATCAGTCATATTAGTCAGAATCCAAGTGATCAAGAGAGAAACTTCGGTCTTCTCAATGACTTCAAGCAGCATGATTATGAAGAAACTTTGTCTGCTGGAAAACTACTGCAGATATATAACCATGGACCTTTCTGCAGCTTTCCAAAGACACTGGCTCCAGACTAAGTGGGTACATCACATGGTCCAAGCACGCTGTTCACTCACCCCTTTACAGGGTCGCTGATGCACATCCCAAACTGTTTGGTGCCAGTCTCCATGCACCTCCGAATCATCAGGCGATAACATGGCTCAAAGATGTGCAAAGGACATGGGACTGTAGGATAAGCCATTGTGCAGACAAATATGGGAACATTCTTATTTAGGCTGTAAGAGAGAAAGGACAAATCAGATGTGGCATTTTACCAAACCACTGACAAGGTATAAAATATGTAGTAACATAGTCTTTTGAATTATGATGTCTTTAAATAGAAATTACAACATCTTTGGAAAAAAATTCTTAATGGATTAAGTAAATGTTTTCCCTCAATTGACTAGATATTATATTTATATACCACTTAATAGTAGAAGAATTTTTCATTATGCTTTCTGGTTTTGCTAGTGAGAGCATTATTGTATCTTCATTATTGCTTTTATTTACTTAATTTTCCTTAATCCCAATTCTTCCCTACCCAGTACATTCCAACCCCCATCCTGTCAGACTGCTTCCACCTATTGTCTCACTCTGTGCCTTTCACAGAGGTCCACTGAAAGCAACCACATTGCTTTATACTTCCTTTATAAAACAACCTTCTGGATTTCTTCTACTTCTGTTTATTGTTTAGCCCAGTGTGCAGATTTTATGCTCACTCAAGCACAGTTTCACCTGGACCCTGTTCTCTAAAATGACACAGAGAAAGAAGCTCCTTTGTCAGCACCTCAGCCTGCTGTTCCACAGCAGCCGGAGCCATTCACAGCTAACGGCAGTGGAATTACAGATTGGATTTTACATAAATGGATTACATACTTGGAAAGCTCTGCTATTTCCTCTTCATAAATCTTTCTTCTTTCAGTGAGTTCCTCTGGAAGATATCTGGCTATTAACTCCTCCATTAGCACTGTTTTACAATATTTCCTCATAGCCAAGCACTGCAGGAAAAACACACACAAGCAGTTACAGGGAATGTCCAGCATTTCACAGCGTATGGTGCCTGTGCACATGGGATCCACCTTTACCCCCATTTCCTGATATCTGTGGTTCTATGATCTCTTAAGCTTGCTCTGCCATTGAAGATTTGTTTCTTCAACTATTCTCTATGTTACAGACAGTTTCTTCAGAAATCTGGAAAGTAAGTAAAGTCACCTTTTTCTAAGCACAGGCCTGGTCCTAAGGTTTGAACAGAGACTATCCATGCTTGATAACTCACAAGAGCATTTAAAAAAATCACATTCTTCCTAAGTTATGTAATATTTCTGTGGAGTTGGGAAATATCAAGGGTTTCTGAAGGTGAAGGTGTTCCTATGCCTTGCACTTGAACTTATGCTGAGAAAATCCAAACATTACCTCTGAGAGCCCTTCCTTGCACAGGGGACATTTTGGGTTGTGATCCAGACACCTCTCCAGACATTTGAGACAGAAGGTGTGTCCACAAGGTGTAGTGACAGGTTCATAGAAGAGCCTGGATTGAAAAATCCAAAAGCAAAAAGACAACAATATCGTGTACCAAAGTAAAAGAAAAAGGCTGCTACTCAAAAAAGCTGAATTCATTCACTAACTTAACTACTGACTACTACAGGGAAAAAGTTGATTCTTGCTTTTCATTTCTTCAACCAACGTTGGTACTTATTCAGCTTACAGACTTTCTTATTGTCACCCAAGGTGAACTCTGATGAATGTGAGTGACAATATTGTCATGAAATTCCAACAAGCCAGGATTTAATTTTCCTCTATGTGAGCAATAAATAGAACCAGAATTGGGACCATCTGACTTTGCTAATGAAATGGAGCAATACTTGCACAACTATTACTGTGGAAATCACGTGATTACTTGTATGAGTAGAGCTAAGCACAAAATAGCTATTTGCATCAACAGCCCACATCAGTGACTGCAATAAACTGGGACCTGGCAGTTCTGGGTTAATGGCTGAACTCAAAGATCCTGAAGGTCTTTTCCAACTTAAATGATTTTATAATTCTACTATTGCCAGCTCTAATGGAGACTTTTTTTTTTCTGGTTGGCATAGACAGGTTTTAACCTTCAAATGACTGCTTTTCTGGAGAATGAGTGACATTAGGTTCATGTTTCATCGAGAAGAATATTTAAATATATAAGGCCAAATCTGCAAAGTACCATGGTATTTAACCTTTACTCAGTACCTCTGTGACACTTATTCTCATGTAAGGATTTTTTTCCTTATAATGATTATGTGGTATTGCAAAGTGATGTTTCCTTGTCAATAATAAAAAAATAGAAGTAATTCAAAACTAGAAACTAAAGTGTTTGGCATATACTGTATTTTACAACATACTGTCTAAGCATTTTAAGGTCTCAAATATTAGTCTAACCATAATTTAAGTAAATTAATAAGTTTCCTTTAAAATATTAGTTTATCAAAACAGTACACTATGTTCTATTAAACCTGTGGAAATCACAAATACGTAAACCCACATTTAACAGCATCTTTAACAAGATGAGTATTTAAGAATGTAATCAGCTCTTAACAGGACTGCCATGGACAGTTTATTAAATGTCATTAGTTAATATAAATATGACATTTAAGCAATGGAACATATGAAGTAGTATCTAGAATACCACACCTATCTTACTGCTGCTTGACTGTATAACTGAAAACACTTGTTAATTGTTTCATAAACAGAAACCTCACTGTACCGAGGCTTCCCTAGTGCTTTAACTGTGTAAAACACTGAATTGTACAATGTGTTTCAGTAGGTACTGGACTGCATATGTAATTACTTAGTAATGACTGACTTCATCTGAAACATTAGCAAAAAGACAAGGAATTCCTATTAGGATGCCTGAGTCTCTTTCACACCAGTATGTTGCTTTGACTATTACTTTGTGTTTTCTGCTTGCTGTGGGAGCAAATGTAGATCAGTAACATTTTAGCCACTCCACCAGACAAACAGGTTAATAACAGCTCCTGAAGTTAATTATGAACAGGTCAGTAGGTTACTAGGTAATTAGTCCAAAGTACCTCAGGAACCAAATCCCTGAAATACTTCTGAAGAACATGGCAGGAAATAATTATAATCAATCAATAACAAAGATCTTATGACAGCTTTCCTTAGCACAAGCCTCCCTTGTGCAGTGATGTTACAAAGCTAACATCCTTCTAGATGCAAGGCCTGGATTCGTGACTGCAATTACAAGCTCAGCACCCCCATCCTCTATACTGTAAGGGAATCAGTAATCCTTGGGCTAATTCCTTTACAAATGTATTGTAGTCTGGCTCTTTCTGACTTAACACACAGCATGAGAAAGTAGGACTAATTAACTTCATTAAAAACGTCTGAAAAATGCTGTGTGGACATGATAAACATGTAGAATCACTAAACAACCTAAGACTAATTGCGTGGCTTTCTGTTAGAGGAAAGGTTTGCTCTTTGCAGTATTGAGTGTTTTGACAGCTGTATAAACTTTTGGAACACATTTCAGTTGTAGACAGGCAGAGGGAGAGGGGGCAGATCTGATTTATTTCAAGCAGAAGCAAATCAGACAACAGCAGTTGTTCCCTCAAAGGTTTCAGTTTGTCTGGAATAAATTGAAGCCCCCTTCTCCACATATAAACAATAAAACAAAGCAAATCCAGATTTCTCAAAACACAGGCCTTCAGAAGTAAATCCATAAAGAGGCTGCTATTTAAGAATTTAAAATGTAGTGCAAACCCCACCATGTGTTATTCATAGATCTGGGTACTTAAAAAAAAAACAAACCTAAGCAACACTCACTGCAGTGAGTGAAACATCTTCCCAATATTTCTAAGTCAGTAACAAAACCCCACATGTGTTTTTGCCAAAGTTAAAATGTTTTTTTACAAAACAAGTAGTAAAATAGATGGAGCTGACAACTCCTACTTATTTTATCAAGTCATTGCTGTCCCCAAGAATACCTGCTGTTTAACTGGAAGAGATCTTTAAGCAAATGGAGTGACACCCATGTCACTTAACATGTCTCTTAAGCAATAGAGGAGAAGCATGCTCTTGTTTACTTGCAAGATCCTCCTATTGCAATAGCAGCAACACAGTACTTCACATGCAAACTCAGAATATTCACTGGATGTGGTCTCTTCAGCTATTTTGTGCTTTTTGTAACATTACAAACAGCTCTACAAATTCCAGAGGACAAACCATGGTTTTGTGCACTATATGTGTCTGTGGGTAGGTGTGTATCAGTGGTGAGAGGAAATCTTCCAGACACCTTCACTAACACACTTAATCCTCGTGTGACCTTACATGCCCTTCCCAAAACAATCAGTAGCCTAGAGCAGATCAAAGAGTCCCTATTCATGAACAGTGCTCAGAACCAAAGGTCTAGAAATGCATCATTGGACTATAGTGAAAACTTATTTCAAGTCAGGGCAAAAATAAGTACCAAGTAAGATAGAAAATCTGTAGATCATAAAATGGAAAAAGATACAGCTTGAAAGCTAAAGACATCCATGAGAAAACAACGCATACCTCATACACAGGGAGCAGTCCAAATCTGATGGATCCACAACTTCAAATGGAATATGTTGTCCAGTACTATTTTCCTTAGTATCAACTGTATCTATCAATAAGACAAAAAAATAATTGAACAGAACTATGCAAACACAATACTATTCCATGTATCTCTGTCAACATCTGATATTTAAATGGGTGTTGTATGTACTTTTAATTTACTGAACCATTAAGCATCATTACAATAATTTCTATGCAAAGCAAATCCTCATACTTCCTCTTAATTTTGGTCACATTATACCCAGTTACAGAGTAACTTGGTCTTGCTTTAACAATCAATGTCAAAACACTGTTAGTGCTGAAAGTCTAAAGTGAGACAAATTCTTCTGTCGTACCATTGTAAATACATCCCACAGCATGAAAACAAGGCCAGTTATAATGAACAAATAGAATTTTTGCTTTTAAACTTTTAAAATTGATACAGAAAGCATTAAGACCACATGCAACATTGATGTTCCTTAAAGATTAAAGCTCTGCTGAGAAACAAGCACTTGGCCCAAACTTCTTTGACCCTTTTTTGACTTTTTTCTCCCCACATACAGGAAAGATTCCACATCATGCCTTCATTAGGCAAAACAGAAAGTTTAAAAACCAAAGTGTAATAATATGGACTCTCTTCCTTTGAGTTTTATAAAAGCAAAGTTCCCAAGGATTCCATGTCATGGAACCCATCCTGTGTGTAATTAAACATACCTTTCTTCATCAGTTTGCAGGGTACCTCAGCGTTTCGCAACTCTTCCGAGCAGCACTTCCTTTTCAGGAGGCTGCATTTCTCAGAAATGAGTAAAGTAGACTCTGGCATGGAGGTGAATTTGTTCTCCTCCTCCGAGCAGTCCTTTTTGCTCTCTGTAATTTGCATCGATTTCCTCAAACTACCGGAAGTAGTTACATTTGGTTCCTCTTGAATGGAAAAACCCTTTTTCTGTTCCACATTTACCTGTGTAAAGAGAGGACTGACATTTGACCAATCATCCAACAACCTGGTAAGGAAAGACCCCAAACCTGTCACAAATCTTTAATATTATGGATCACCAGGAAAAAGCTAGTAGGTCAAGAAGCAAGAGTCTGAGAATTGCTAATTCTAATACAAAACAAAAAACAACCAACAAACAAACTCAAATTATTTTCCCTCTCTGCCACCCCCACCACTGAATATTTTCAGCCCTTTTATGTGGCTTTATAGCTTGAAGGTCATGAAACTGGATTCAGGCAGAAATGCAGCTAGATCTCAGGTTAAATGTGTTGTTATCACTTAACCTATGGAAAAACTGCATATTGTTTATATCATAATGATGGCATCAACCATCAGAACAACCAAAACAACGTGAGTTTATTTCAAGGAAGCAGTATAAATACAAAAAATATATAAGAGAAAGTACACAGAGCTTCCTTCTGCGAGACAGATTTCTTTTGCAAAGGATAAACCACTCAGTGTTTATCCCCTTACGGCTACAGGACATCACCTGTCAGCTTGTAACATCAACTCCCCAGATGAACCCCAAAACAGATAGTGTGGATTGTGAGCAGGAGCTGTGGTGATGTGTAACATGCAGAAAGATGGGTGAACTGCTCCTCAAATGACTTTGTGAAAGGGTCATACAGAAGGATTTCTTGTCAGAATATCCTGACAGCCTTTCCAGAAGGCAAGGTCACTGACTGTTTCTTATTGGTCTCAACAAGGCTGCTCAAGACCTACCACTTTGTTTGTAAGGACCACTGAAGTTTCCTCCTACATATACAGTATATGCAAACCCCATCCCAAAGTTCAGTGAAGCAGAAGTGGTCCTCACACACCCATGAATGTAAACCTCCACAGCCATTTACAAAACTGTGGCTATGAAAGCAAACTTATAAAGTTGCTGATGTATCTGACACAGCTCTACAATAACCTCTAAGTAGTATACAGACTCTGAATGCCACTGACATCACCAGTTACAGGTTCAAGCTGAAACTCTAGATTTTAACATTTCACAGCTTTTGAGGGTATCTCAATCCAATCTTCAGAGGCCCTTTCCCACTACCAACTACTTGGAAGAGCTAATGACAGTTAGAGGAATTGAACCCAATCAATTCTGAAACAAAATTTATCAGAACAACAGAGGACTTGTATTAAAGTCAATTAAGGAGACTTCAGTAAGTCAACACTGTTTTGTATGTTCTGAAACTCAGTAAAAATTTGAGAAAATGTATCCTCCTATCTCCCAGAGGCAAAAAGGAGAGAAGGCTTCCCAATGTGAACACAAAACACACAACAAATTAAGAACCACACATCAGACTTGATCTTTACCTTGAGCAACCTTTGTAGGTTATGGCTGGTGCCTCCAGATCCCACTGAATTTAGGAGATTCCCCTTTAATCTAGAGTGATGTGACAACAGCTGCAGGATATCGGGTAAGTGTTCCTGAGCATTTCCCGGGATGAGTGAAAACAAACTAAGTAGAAGCTGTGATATAAAACAGAACACTTCACTGCTTAGTTCCTTCCTTATAACCTCTAAATGAAAAAGCAAGTAAGGGAATAGCTGAAAGAAGCATCCTTGATTTTGTTAAAACCATTTAAAGAGCCCTTTAGACTAGGGTAGGAACAAAAAGATCAAGAGCTATGGCAATACAGGCCAAACAGACAGCAAGAAACATTTTCAGAGTTAAATAAGCCCATAAAGTTATTAATCATTCTCTGATGTGACACACAACATGCCTTTGTTGTTTTTGTCCTGCAGTTCAAAGTTCACCAGAAATTACTACCATCTTTCTTAAGTACGTTTTTTTGCTGCACATCAGAAGCTTTCACTGGAGTTTACTAGTACAGAAAGCACTCATCTCTCACAGGCTTAATCCAAGATCAGTTGAGTAAATGTCTCTGATATTGTAAACTGTAGCTATTTTTAATTCACTTATGTGGGAATACAAAAAAGGTAGGCAGTAGAAAAATGCTATTTCTTTATTTGCTATAAGAAAATAAGTGGATCTGTTTCAAGTAGCAGCTTGAAGCCCCTTGTATAGCATAGCTTATCAGATGATTATTTAAGGAAAGAAACAGAGCTGAATAGAAGATTCACACTTCAAAAACTAATTTCAACATACTACTGAGGTGATCCTGCTGATGTCTGAGGAAGCCACATGACAGCCAAGATTTCTATTTAAAGCCAAAAAGGATTCCACAGGATCACACTATGTTCAAAGTAACATGTGCAGACAGTTAATACAAGCAGAACATCACAGCTGCACCCAAAGAATTTGGTAAAACGTAGTATGTCATTGTTATGCAAACAGCCTTGGAAACGACCCAGTAAAACATTGCATCATGGATGAACTCTGTGTCTGATGAGTGCACGAGTAATTCTTTTGGTCATAAGAAGCCTAGTTTTTCTCGGAACCCCACTGCTCAGAAATCAAGTGTCTTGGTTAGGGCTATTCGGAGTCAGGATTTAGAAACCTATCTGTTTGTTTCTTGTCTTTTTGCTCTGGTGCACAGAGTCTCCCAGCATGACTATGAGCACAAAGCATGACACAATGACAATGAAAGACTGCGTGGAACCCACTGGGGAAAACAGCAAACAAAACCCTCAAACATCAGTGACAAAAAACTCCCAGGAGACTGAAATCTCAACCATATTTAAAATGAGATAGAAATTTGATCGTCCTACAGCCATACAGGTTATACTGTTACCTTCATGAACAGTGCTTTACTGTAAGAATTCTACTTTTAGAAAGCCTTATGTGTTACAGTACACAGAAACCCTAAACCTCCTGTCCCCACCAGTTATGGAGAATGGGATGAATACACTGCCATAAAAGAAAATTCAATAGAAGGAAGATAGAACTATTATGGTTTTATTGCCATTAGCTATCACTGCCACACTGAGCCTTTTAGCTATGACAACAACAAAAAAAACCAGTCAAATGTCAAAATACTGATTCACAGGAAATCAGAGTTTTGAGGGGTGTGCAACACAGAGCAGTATTCACAAAAGCCACTTAAGAGTTCACACACATCTTAGGCTGCTGCTGAAAAAAGTCACACTGCAGATCCATTTCATTGCTTACTTAGCATTAATTATTAGCAACCTTAGAAAACTATTTTAAAAACAGTTCTTCCTCTGTTGGCTGCTTCCTCTCTCACGCCTCCTTCACACACCGATAGATACTCGGCACAGCGCGACTGGCAGTGGGAAGAAAGCTGCTGCTCCCAAGTGGAGTTTGATGAGTGCTGCGTGTTGCATTCTGCCAGTCAGTGGCCTGATACAACATTCAATAGCAACTCCCCCTCTTCTGCACTCCATCATTGGTAATAGATTGCCAGGCTGGGAATCAGATCAGAAATTTGACTATAGAGAATCACAGTAGTCTGCGGGTGGCAATTATTAACGACTCAGTTTTAGTTCAGATTTGCTGATGCTAATGTCCTGACTGCTTCCACCTCATACCTGCTGAGTATGTTTTCTTGCTACCTCCCTATCTTCAAGAGCAATATACAACTCAAATGTCTGGATTTGTGCAGCTCTTTGCAGTAATGAGAGAGGGGAAAAGAAATAATCCCATCCTCCTTAATGAAAGGCCACTGAAAACAATAATGCAGTTCTAGATGATTTAGGGAACTCACCTTTTGTGCCTCAGACTTGGCTGTCTTGTTCCCAGTATCTAGAGCAAGGCAGAATAGAAACTCTCTTAAAGCTTCTTCTGTTTTCCCCAGATTAGCTAATGCCTGTCCTTTCCTCAGGTGACCCTGCAAGGAAACACATCCATAGCTACAGTATTTTTTCTTTTGTTATGAAAATAGGCAATAAAATCATGATGAAATTACAAGAGATCTTTCTGAAGAAGAAAAAGTTAAGTAGGAAAAGTCACTATAAGCATCTCTTACACCTAGACACCACCACTCTGTGTTTCTAACCGCAATGGTCCTAAAAACTCCTACAGGATATTCTCCAACTCAAGCAAATATGACTTTCACAGCACCTGAGCCCAAATGATCTTGGAAACATCTACTTCCCCTGCACTGATCTCCTAAAATCGTAATTTTGTCCTTATAGAATGATACAAGCACAGCATTCATTTTTAGAGAGAGTTCATGAACTTGATATTCATCCAGGTCAAAGACAATAGCCTTAGCTCATGCTCCATGATTGTCACTCTCTACCTCAGGAAGCTCGAGAATACCATGGTTAAATGTCTGTAAACAACAAGGGTCCAAGAAGTTACAGGATTTAAAGCTTCCCTCAAATTCAGCTGTCTGACCATTCTAACCATTTCCTACCAGGGTAGTATCAAGATTTTAAACCAAAGTAAAACTGGAGTCAGAACTTACTTTCAACCAGTATGGCTGGAGCCTGCACGCTGTTTCTGCATCGTGCAATGCATCTTCACAAGCTTTCAAAGTGGAGTTAATCTGGGACCGGTTGCTATATAGTAAGTGGTCATTTGGAGCTGTAAGAAATAGAAAAAGTGGTTAAGTAAAACAAAAATTAGTTACATAAGCTTTACTCCTTAATTTATTTTTTTTTTTGTTAAACACATGTTGGTGCTTCTGAGTTGCACAAACCCACAAAATATCCAGTTTTTAAATAACTATGTACTAAATGAAATCTGGAAACCTCTTTGGGCAACTCCAGACAAAATGTCAGCTATGTATTATATAACTGCAGGGAACATTGCATAAATAAATGCTGAGACGCTCACACAATAAATTACCAGTGCTGACTGAGGATCAGATGGTTGGTAGAAACATACAGGAGACATTTAAGGCGGCAGGAGGGATGCTGGCATACTGTAGGGAGGAGTTTCAAAATCCGTGGCATCAAAGTTTTTAAGTGATACATAACGATCTCTTCGTGTCATCGCTCAACACAGGAAAAGAAGTGACAGTGTGAAGAATCAGATAACACTACACTGATCACCGAGTTACACACACGCGGCGCGTTGTAGCATCGAGACAAAACGTGTGCTGAGGGAAGGCTGGGCACTTTTCTGAGAATACTTTCTCATTTAAGTGAAACTCGTAATACCTTGCCTCTAATTCCCCCTTACTGCGTGCAGTGTGTGAGTTGCTTTTCCTCAAACTGCATTAAAAGGACCTCGTCAAAAAGTTCTCCCTGCACAGCCCCGCAGGCGCTTCCCGGCGATGGGGCGGGAGAGCCGAGCCGGGTCAGCCGGGGTTGCGGGATCCCGGACACGCATCCCCCGCCATTCCCTTTTGCGCCCGGCTACGAGCGGCTCCTTCGCACCTGGCGGGTGGTCCGCGGGGACCGGCCCCCGGCCCCTGTGGAGCTCCTCCCGGGGCGCGGCGGGATGCCCGGGGCGCGGCGCTCCGCTCGCTCCCGGCCCCGCCGTTACACAACGGCGCCGGCCGGGGGGGGGCCCGGCCGGACCGCAGCTCCGGCTTACGCAACCGCTGCTCTCCTGACCCAGTTCACCGCGGGCCGAAGAGAGCCACGACCCCTCCCCGGGGCTCCCCCTCCGGGGCACCCCGACACTCCGCCAGGGCCCGGCGTGGGGGGCCGGCGGCGGCGGAGCGCGGCCCCGGCACACCCCCCCGGACGCGGGGGCTGCCCCCGCAGAGCCCGGGCTCCGCGGGGCGAGAGGCACCGGAGTGCCGCGCGGCGAGCCCCGGCCGGTGCAAAGTTGCCTTCTCCGGGGGCTGCGGGAGCGCGTCCCCCGCGGGCCAGCGCCGGGGAGGGGGAGAGCCCTTACCTAGGCTGACCGCTTCGTTGTACTTCTGCAGGGCGGCTTGGAGCTTCTTCTCCTTGTAGAGGAGGTTCCCTTCGTGCCGGAGCTGCGAAGCCTTCACTTGGCAGGGGAACCACTTGGCCAGCAGGTTGCTGAGGATGACATTGACCCGCAGGAGCTGCCCGGCCGCCGCGCCGCCCGCCTCCTTGCACAGGACGCAGCGGGACTGGGGCGCCCGGTCCCTCTCCAGGCACTTTTTGCAGAACGTGTGTCCGCAAGGCAAGGAAACGGGCTCGAAGAGGAAGCCCTGGCACTTGCGGCACCTGAAAACGTCCCACTCGCGGGGTGCCGCGGGGTGTCCGGCGGCGGGCAGCCCCTCTTTGATCCGGACGCCTCTGCGCCATGCACTCCACCAGCTTCTCCAGACTTGCTTCGCGCCGCCGCAGCTCTGGTGGCGGGACGCCAGCTGGTACAAGCGGCAAGCGCCTCGCTGCAGCCGCCGCGAAGGCCAGGCGCGTCCGCCCGCCCAGCAGCACCTGCACTCGGGCCCAGGCCGCCGCCCGGCGCCTCCAAGTTCTGCGCCTGTAGAGCCCCCGCCGCCTCTGCAGCACCAGCTGGGGCTCGGACGCGGCGGCGCAGGTGGGCGAGCCCATGCCGTCGGCTTAGCGGGGCGGGCGGCGCGAGGCGCCGGGGCGCGCAGGGGCGCGGCCGGGCCCCGCCGGCCCATTGGCGGTGCTGCTGCCGCCCGCGCCGGGAGCGGCCCCGCGCGCCGCAACGCTTATATAAAGGCGGGCACGTGACGGCGGCGCCGCCGGCTCATTGGGCGCGGCCCGCAGCGTTGTTACAAACCAGGCGGTTTTTGTAACGCCGCTGAGCCCCGGCCCGGCCCGGCCCACCCCGCTCCCCCCGCCCCGTGAGGGTCACCCGGCCCCTCAGACCCCCCTACCCGGCCCCCTCAGACCCCCGGCCGGCCGTGTGTCCGCCCCTCGGCGGGTGGGTTGGAGCCGCGCGGCCAAGGGAGCGCCCCGTGCTCGGAGTTCGGTCTGACCCGCCGGTGGGACGCGGGGCTCGCTCCCGGGCTCGGCGTTTTGGTGCCGCCGGTGACACGGAGAAAACAGCGGTTCAAAGAGGTTTTGAGATGCCGTTCCCTGCTAGAAGTGGAGTTGTAGAGCCTTGTACTTGCACGGTTAATCGGTCCCTTTCAGGGAATCTACGTAGTGCTGAAGCTATTTTGATGTCAGGTAATCGTGCTTTTAGAGCAACTAAGGAAAACATTTGAAGGAAAACGCTGTGTTTATTTAGTTTTATTGGGTTTATTTATTTACGGCATGGCATGTTGCACAGCTCTACCTGTCCATGCCGGATTCTAGAAAAAAGCACATGATGTATCTTTGTTTTATTCAAGACCAGCCGTGTTGACCGTTTGAATCTGCACATTCCCACCAATTCTTGTTAGATGAGAGGATCGCACTAGTTGTGTAACTGTCTGTGCTAAATGTAGCCTAGGAAGAAAATCACCTGTGCTACTATCGAAAAGAAGCAGTTGTTCTAAAAGAAGTTGTCAAATTTTTATTTTTTTTTGCAGTTTCATGCATATCTATAGTTACCAGAAATGTCCATGTTACGTTATATATACATACCCTTTCAAATGTTCTAAAAATGTGGGGCACTTTTCATGCTGTCTTGAAATCCACTGCAGAATTTGAAGTTTCTGAGGATGTCCTGTCACTGATACTACTTGCCTCCTCACGAAGCTCAAGGGACGGGATGAAGGAATAAATTTCCATTTTCCTACTTACAGAAGTGTCTGGACTCCCCAGATTAGACTGTGTGAGCTAAGCAGGTATTAAGGGACAAGCCCTGCCTATGGAGCTTGAATGGACAGGAGAAAAGATGGAAGAAAGGAGAGGCAACATGAGTTTTGTAAGACCTTGTTTAGAGAGGATACTTGACAAAGTTCAGATGAACTTCAAGATAAAAAACAACTTAAAGCTGCTTAAATTCTGGATCTTAACTTTTAATAATATACACTTTGAATTAATGAGTTCAATATCTACCTGTTGTTCTTAGGCAAATCCTTTAATTGGAAAAAGAATTTAAGAACCATTGGTTTCCATACTTCTTTCTGCCATCACTTAAATCATATTTGAATCTAAAGTATAGCACAGCCTGACAGCAAGTAATTCAAAGAAAGCTAGGACAGCTGAAGCACTTAAAATTTCAGTTAAGCAATGCTTCAGAACAGCTAGAAAGAATTAGCTTGGGAGTGTGGGGTTTTCCCACCAGACTCCAGCTTGCTAACATAGATTTCTTGTTTTCCAAACTTCCATGCAAGAAAATCTCATCCTATAAAAGAATAAAACCCTTAAGAAAAAAAAAAAAAGGAAAAATGCTTTCTTGCAGCCTTGAGGTCGGCAGTTGTCTCTATTGCAAAACTATAGTCTCGGCAACCCCTCGGTGTGTTATTTTATAACCATTGTCCTGAAAACCACTATGAGTCAAAGCCTATTCAAGCGAGGGAAAGTGACATAACCACTGGTTACCAGTAGCAATGCAGTGACAATCTCCCTATCAGGGATACGCCACCAGTATTTACATAGTTACATAGCAGACACTTAAAGAGATAAATCGTGGTATAAAGAGAGAGTTTCTAGCAGCACACAAATTCTAGATAGGGAAGGGGAATAGATTATCATAGAAAATGTAATCAGCATTTGCACTCTGAAAGGAACTTCCACAGTTCCTATTTGCAATGTATGAAAGCATCTGCAGGGCTGGCTGATGCTCTGGACTGAAACGAGTCTCAAAAAAGCACTGTGAAATGCACTTCTGGGAATTCTCTTCCACCAGCAGGGAGGTGGCTGGAACGTTTCAAGGGAAAAGGGAAGCTGTGCTTATGAACTACTCCTGTGGTGGAAGCTGTGTGCTTAGAAGGGTTCAGAACACAGACCCTTATCCCAGGCTAGAAAACAGTTAAGACCTTGTCACAGATGGCCTACGGGCAACAACTCTGTGACTTCTTAGGGGAGAAACCAGCTGGCTCTGCCTCTGCTAGTTCCTGGTATGTGTGTGGTGTTTGGTAAATGTTAGTACTTGGTGGGGTGTGACAGGTACAGAGCGACCTGTACAGTCACTAACAGCAAAATATTTTAAAGCCAAGATACTAATTTACTGTTCACTAGAAGTCAAACAACTACAAAATATTTGATTCTGACATCAGGCCTGGCTCTGCAAAGACTTTTTTTTTAGCAAAAACAGCTGTGTGAATTGAACATACATAATCTAGATATGCTGGGGTGTTTTTATATAACACATCCTGAAAGCACAGAGTTTTCATACATTCATACATATATTCATGGATTTGGAGCAGCAGTAGGTCATGAGGTATACTTGATTAGAAAGCAAAAAAAAAAAAGGAAAAAGGAAAAAAGCACCCTCCTGCCTACCTGCATTGTTCATGAGATCAAGAACAGATTTATCCTTCACTTAAACAGAAGAAGTTAAAGCGAGGAGGTGACTCACTCTGCAAAAGCACATCTCCCTTGTATGATTTTTCTACAAAGGGAGGTTTAATTTCTTCCTTTTAATGACAATGAGCACAATACTGGTCTCCTTCCAGCAGTTAATGGCTGGCATAACAGGCAGCGTGAGAGCATGACTACATTCTTCAGCCTTCTTCTGCATCTATAAACTGCATCAGGCTTTGAGACCACAAAAGCCATCAATAAACCTACATCTTTCCTCTCTCAAACACAACAAACCCAAGTGTGAAATTCCACCCCACCAGTCACGCTGACAAAGCTCCTTCTCTAGTGGAAGTAGGGATGTGAAAAGTCACATCACAAATACAGCCACAGATGGCTTTTTATTCTCAAGTGCTCTGCCCACACTGTAGTAGTCCATAAGCAAGAACAGATTTGGACTGATGGCCCTTGCAGCTGAGATAATTAAAAAAACCACCAAGTGTGAGGCCTGACCAGTATGTCAGGAAGCTGCACTAACTTACAGATAGGAACAGGAAGGGAAGACATATCAGTTCTTCTGGGTTATTTTGCCACTGAATCTCTGGATGACTTTTGGCAACTATCTTTACCTCTCCTTTTACATTCTGCCTGCTGTGACTACTCCTTCATGTACTGGGTGTCTTTGCTATCATACACACATAATTTACATTGAAAAGAAATCAAGTCCAAGTTCTATTTTAAATCTATTTTGACACATTAATCTTAAAAAAAAAAGTCATAATGTTCCATAAAATATAAAGGAAATTAAAGAAGAAGTGTAATGGAGAAGTTTATGTTCATATGCCATGGTTAGAAAAATAACTAGAATTCAGATGCAAACACATTATCCAGTTTAAATAAATGCAAGCACCAACAGAGAGAGCAACGTGATCATGGAGGGCTGTTTTTCAGGGAAAAACACCAACAGAGCCTGAGAAAGGTTCTTGTTACCTACTGGTCCATGAACTGTGTAATAAGAAAAAACCCCAGTGCCCTTCCCACACAAACCTCTGCCTGCCTAATTGATGACTGACTAGTGATCAGCTTGACAAGACCTCAGGACTGACAAAGCGAGCATCCCACTGAGGTTGTACCTTTCACTGCATGATACTGGAAGGGGGAATCACAGCGTGTCCCTGAAGCATAACCAAACCTAGAGTGGGCTGGGTAAAATAATTTCTGTTCAGCCATATCTAGATTCTTAGAAGGTTACTTCTGTTCTGTACTAGAATGAAAGGGCTACTGTCATAAACTCAGTGGAATTCAAATTCCAGAGTATTTTGATCATGAAGGAGTAAGATATTTCAGCGTTGAACAAATATTTAACCTGTGGTTTGCCATGAAGTTCTGAGATACCTAACTGTTCTTTGAAGACTCACATTTTATCAAAACTGAGGAATTATCCACTATGCACTCCCACTAGCCATTAGGGTGACAACTTCTGTTTTACTGGAAAGCTAATCTGTCAGAAGGAAAGCCCAGATTAACTCTTAAGTACAGAGGAATGAACATCCCAAGTGTTCAAGTACCCTCAGCATACACAGTAAACCTCCAATTACAACAAGCTCCTGCTTAATGTGTGGCAAGACAAATTTGAGACCAAGCAGTCCAGGGTCCCTCATGGTCACACAGTCAGGAAGCCTCTCCATTTCTGGAGAACATGGGCAATTGCTGTTACAGGAGAACAACTGAATTAATATATTCTGTCTAGAATGTAAAGGTATTAATGGATTTTTCTACTCTGACCAGTAAAAAACTACTTTGCAAATGCCTTGAGCAACAAATCATTTTATGCAGCATTCTGTTTGTCTGAAGACTTCACTTAGGCTCAGTTTGAGCTATCTTTGCAGTTTGAAACCTTATAAATCTAAACATCCAGAAGGGAAAGGTTGTAGCAAGGAAGATCATGATCTATGTTTTGTTTCACAGCTCGTGATAATGTAATTCCAGAAAGAAGACAAACAAGCTCCGCAGAGTAATCAATGCAATCCACAGTCCACTTGAAGGTATAGGAGCTAATTCTTTATGTGCTTTGGTGTTTGGTGTTCCCTGAATACAATAGCTAAGATGCATCATGGATCAAAGCTGGAAGTTATTGATGAATCCCCTACAAAGCAAATGGAACATGCAGCTTTTGAACAGTTTGAAAT